CAAATGTATAGTTGTCTTTGTAAAAAATTGCTCGCTTATATATAATGCCGAAGTCATATTTCAATGTCTTTGGAAAACAAGAAAAAACACAAAATGACTTAAGCAATTATGCTATGAGGCTAACGATATGTAGCTTTGGAGCCGCTGCTGTGACACTGTCTACAAACGCTTCCAGTGTGAATACTCTCGCGCGTCTGCAGCTGCAGTGACGATGTAGTTACGCTGACGCGCTGCTCAAATGCCGCTCACGCTTGCGGTGTGAAACCTATGTGTGAAACGGCCGTAAGGCTGCATCGAAAGGTAACTTCGCGTCTACTGCCATGTTTGATCCATAGGTATAAACAAACTGCTTCGGTGTGTCGCATAGACGCGTCATCGTCTTGCTGCTCCCTCCCCGTTCTGTGATTGGTTCCCTAAATGAGGCGAAAATTTGGTCCATGGTATCCATACTGCCTTTCAGCGTGAATAAAATCGCGCTGCGGGAAGGCAGTATGGGGAAACCCAGACTAAATAAATTGTTGAATAAAGTGTTTTTTTTTGCGCACAAAAAGTATTCTCTTAGCTTCATAACATTAAGGTTGAACCACTGTAGTCACATGGACTACTTTAATGATGTCTTCACTACCTTTCTGGGCCTTGAAAGTGGTTATGACGTTGCTGTATATTGGGGGGTCAGAAAGCTCTCGGATTTCATCAGAAATATCTTAATTTGTGTTACAAAGATTAACAAAGGTCTTACGGGTTTGGAACGAAATGAGGGTGAGTAATTACTGACCGAATTTTCATTTTTGGGTGAACTAACCCTTTAAAAGTAGGATTCTCATATAGTGATTTTACTTTCGCCCATCCAAGGGCTCACCACATTAATGTAAAGTGGAGGGAGTTGGTCAGCTGATTTATCTGAAAGATTGGTGAGATTGTTATCTTGTAGAGCCTCTTCTGTATTATCATTACAAGGAAGACACAAGTTTAATAATATAAATTTTATTAACAAAAGATAAACAAGAATAACTAACACAACTACTAAATGAATACCATGAATGATAAAGGAATAAAGTGTATAAGACACATAAGATACAAGTGATTAAGTTGGGCGTGGCTATGGAAGAGTTACGTTATCGTATGGAAAGATAAACTGTTGTTCCTTTGAAACTAATAAGGTGAATAACCTTATTATGCATCAAACAAATAAATGAAAGATTATTTGTTATTAACTAGCATCAGCTATATTACCTCTAATGGAAAAATCATATACTGATAATAAACAACAATGCCAAAGGTCTCTGGAAAGTGGTTTGGTAAAGTGATATTTACGTTCCATGTGGTCGAGTGAGCAGTCTGATGGCGGTAACGTCTTCCACTGATTGTGCTGAGTGACAATGCAGGGGGGAAAAGAGCTGGAATATGTTTTAACAACTTTGAACATGATGCTCTGTGGGATGCTGATCTCCTGGAGCACCCAAGGGTCCTAAAATCTGGAACACGCAGATAAGGCCCTTAAGTAGGTGCAGAAGGTCCTAAATTTGGAACACACAGACCAAGGAACCTTGAAGTGAAGGTTTGCTCTCCTGAGCTTAACCTTGTTGCAAATGTCTCTGTGCATGTGTCTTCTGCCTCTCTGGGCCAGAAACTCAGAACTTGGTCAATCCACTTTTGTCTCTCTGGCATGGAGACTACAGTAAGTAGTCTCTACGTCGTAGATGTTACTGTCTCGCTGGACAAAAACTCTGAACATTGTGTTTGTTAATGTCTCTTTCCTCACAGAGTGGAGGCTCAGAACGTGGTTGTATCTGTTGCTGCCTCACAAGCTGTAGACTCAGATCATGGAATTGGTTTTGTTGCGGGAGTCTGAGTTGAGGATTTATAATGGCATGGCTAGCACTTTTGCCTAGCCCCCTTATACTTTCTTGTGATCCCTCTGAGCCCTTCTGGTCTCTGGACACCAACAGGAAGTGGTCTGTTCGCCTTGGACAAACCCTTCCAGTTGTACAGCACTTCTGAGAGTGCTGGAGTCTAGAGACCAAATCATTCTGCTAGACAGTGACATCGAGTGGTGTGGCTCTCTGTGAGCCTCCTTGGTGGAACTGTCTTTAAGATGGAGTGTTGTTAGGCTTCCTCACGCTCTACAGAGTCATCCTGCTGAGGCCTCTGCTCCCCAGAGCTCTGCTTGGATAGCAGTATCGAGTTGCCAGGCTCTTTTGTGAGCCTCCTTGGTAAGTAGTCCTTAGCTTAGAGCGTAGTTAGGCCTCCATTCTTAGAGCTCTGAGCTTCTGGATGGCTACACCGGGTCGTTTGGTTCTCTGTGCGCCTCCTTGGTTTGCTCTTGATTTAGAGAGTCGTCATGCTGAGACCTCCGCTCCCCAGAGGTCTGCATAAGATAACATGTCTAAGTTGTGTGGCTCTATGTTAATCAGAGTTTTTGTCCTAACCAGCCGCGACGGCGACACGCAACGATTGTATTTTAGAAACGGTTTATATTTTTCTGCGACGTCGCGGCTGGAACAACAAACACAAAGTGTGTCAATGATAATCTCAGGTACTGTTTATGTGCTTTATTTAATGTTTAAAGCATGCAATGTGACTTTGAATATCATTTAGTGCTCCCAGCTTTATAGCTGTAAAAGCAACAATGGATAATTCACCTCAGATCTTGAAATTAAACTAATGGAAACAAGAATGTTCAAACTGTGAACAAACAAAAGTGTATTATTTGACAAAGATTGTTTTAGTAACTCAGTAGCCTATGTATTTGAATAATGTTTAAATGGTGTAATATTTGTGAATTTGATTATTTAGCCTACTTATCCATTTTCTTGCGATTGCCGTCAAGATTACTCTCTGGTGCGGTGCACTTGCCGCAAGAGCCCACCCACACGCTGTTCTGATTGGCTGTGGGTTTTGATTGATTTCGACGCATCTCACAGCCGCGTCGCGTCTAGTGTGGATAGACAAATTATTTGTCACTGGAATCTTATCGCATCGCGTCTGGTTAGGACACTGTGTTAGGGTAGAGCGTACTTAGGCTTCCTCTCGCTATGGGGGGTCGTTATGCTGAAGTCTTTCCTCTGAGAGCTCCGTGGAGGCAGTGGACTGGGTTGTAAGTTCTTTTTGACCCTCCCTTGATAACTGTCTTCAAGGTGGGAAGTGATAGGCTTCCTCTTGCTTTAGAGAGTCTTCTTGCCGAGGCCTACGGCCCCAGAGCTCCGCCTGGATAGCATTGAGTTGAGTTGAGTATTGAGTTGTCAGGCTCTTTTGTGAGCCTCCTTGGTAAGCAATTCTTGGTGTAGAACATAGTTAGGTCTCCTCTAATTTTAGAGAGTATTCCTGCTGAGGCCTCCATTCGTAGAGCTCCCCTCAGATACTATACCAGGTCGTTGGCTCTCTGCGAGCCTTCTTGATATTTTTTTAGAGTGTTGCTAGGTCTCTTGTTTTGAGAGTGGTTTTCCTGTGACCTCCACTCATCAGGGGTATAGTGCCCCCTGAAGTGACAGGCAGGATAATCCTAATCCTTGGCCATATTCCCTTGAAGGTATTCAGAAGAATACCAGGCCATGAGCTCTCAAGATAGCCGCTGGTGCGCGTACCATCTAGGACAGGGAATTGTGACTCCGGAGCTAGCTCCGTGGAGCCATTGACTTTATGTCAGCTGTTACTGCATTCATTCCTTCAGCATGGCGGAGTAGGTATTTGTTCCCCAAAGCATCTTAGGACGCAGTGCAAGCTCCCATTAGTAAGGCAACGTCTCGGGTTACGGATGTAACCGTGGTTCCCTGAAAAAGGGGAACGAGACGCTACATCCTGTTGCCATGCTTTGGGAATGGCTGACGACATCTCCTTCAGACAAAAGAATTTGTTAACGTGTTCTACAGGCGTCCTTTTATACTCTGGCCGCACCGGTAGTGACGACTGTTGCCAGCCAATGTTATTATCATGTTTAGACGCATGCTTCAGACACTGGTCACACTGAGGCATTCCCCAAAGCATCCTAGGACGCAGTGTCTTGTTCCCCTTCTAAGGAACCATGGTTACATTCGTAACCCGGGACGTTTTCTTAAAGTCTCTTTTTAATTCTCACAGGCAGAGACATGAAACATACACAACACATTACAAAATATTAAGTGAGATATATATGATTATATCCAAATGTATTTACATACATACAGTATACTCACGTAGGGCGATATATAGCAAATCTCTACTATTTGTTTATATCATCACAAATTTTAAACTATATTATAGCACAGCTCTAATCTGCTAAATGCAACTATAAGGCATTAAAATATTATAAACATTAACATTATGATTTAATGAAAAAGCTGCCTTGCATATAACAATGTGTATTGCGAAAAGTGCTATATAAATAAATAAATGTGAAACAAAAAAGACACTTCTTGCTTTTTTTGCGTCTCTGCCTGTGTGAGAAATATGCGTAACCCAGGTTTAATGTAACCACTTTAATGTTTCATAAAGTGGGTAACTGTAATTTGACTAATTTAATAATAATCTGTAAGACTACTTTTTAAATAATAATTAGATTACAGTAACTTAAAAAAACAAGGAGAAACTGTAAACACAGGGCTAGGGTGAAAAAAAAATCAAAAATCAAAAATAAAACGAATCATCTGGGTTTTTGTTTATGCGTCTAGAAAAATGCATATAATAACAGTAATGGTCGTTGTGAATTATTAACAGTTAAAAGTCATTATTCATACACACATATGTCAATGAGAAACACAAAATGTGTCCATTTTGCTATGGGGTTATGGAGATATTAAGGTTATGGGTTACAAGAAATGGAGCTCTAGCAAGCAAAAACACACATGGAAACTTTAAAGAAACAAACAGTATCTAGTATTCATCTCTGAATACTGAGAGGAAATTGAATAAACAGCACTACAGACAGCAGGCACAATCAGGGACACGTGTTTGTGTGTGTTTTTGGGGTGACGTAGGTGGTCAGCTGTGACTGTGATGACAATGAGATTTAGAGAATAACTCACCAGAGTCAGCAAATTCTGAGGAAACCGCAGACAGAGAAAAACAGAAAGAGAGAGAGAGTGAGACAGAGAAAGAGATGAAAAAGAAAATAAGCAGGAAAAACAGTAATTAGCTCTAGTGCAAAGCCATGTAGTGAATAAAAAGATGAGATGTCGTACTATTAAAATCCCCATAAAAATTTAAAAAAAGTAATTGATATTTTTAAAATGTAATGTTTCATTTAAGAGCCGAAAGCTTTTAAAGACCCTATTAAATCAAAATATCAGTTCTGTGGCTTTTAGTTCGTCTTTTAGATTTGAGCTCATCCACATGAAAGTGTACTCAAAACAGATATTGATGAAGCATTAATCTGACCAAAAATATTGATGACTCAACCTGCACTCACTCATTTGGTACAATCAAAATATTTTCTAAAATGAGAATGCCCCTCCCCCTAATGCCACCAACTTATTGAGTGTAACAGTTCTGGTTCTGGAAGTAAAAACATTAATTTTCTCCAAAAAGAAAAAAAAAATTAACGATAACTTTTAAAGACAAACCTGCTGTGAGCTACGAGTTGTTATTCAATTGTATACGCTTTTGTTGAAGCCAACTATACGATTTCTTTAACTTATTTTTTAAGGGGCCTGTTATGTTTTTTTATTTTTTATATTACCTTTAATGCAGTATGCTTGTGAATGTAAAATGCCTGCAACGTTTTAAAGATCAAAGTGCAAGACAAATAAAGTTATTGACTCCTAAAAGAAAGAATCGATACAGAACTGCATGAAACGTGTTGTCAGCAATTCAGTCTCCTTTACTGTTACATACCTACATAAGCATGTAGCAAATTTGCCAGTCTATGGTCAAAACAATGAAATGGGGTCCAAAACAACATTGGATTGCATCGACTTTGACAATTTTCATCTTTGGGTGAACAATCACTTTATAGCTGGCTTTACTTCAGGACACATAATTTACAATGGATATATTAGAATGACAAAAGCTGACAATTTTGTGAATGCATTAGCAACAGCAGATTTACCAGCGTGAGATTTAAAACTCAAACGCTGTGATTTATCAGCCTAACCCATGTGTGAATGTGAAAACATGCGAACAATGTGTTAGGTGCATTCTGGTTAGGCGATACTGGTGTCATTTTTGTGGCCATTTTTCTGCATTTTTCTCTGTTAACAGTTATTTTCTGGCATACAAGTTATGACATGCATTGTATAAAATTAAAAATGATATTATCACACTAAACATACTGTAAATTTCAGAACTTGTAACTTACAAATGTAAACGAGCATTTATTGAAACCAAGATGCAAAAAATACTTGCTTAATACTGCTGCAAACTTGACATCACACAGGTGAATGCACAGGGTTATGATAGTTAAATACAACTAAAACCATAAAAAAAACTTTTATTACTTGAAATAAAATAAACTTTAACTGAAATAAAATATTAAAAACCTTAAACTTGTTTTATTTCACTTAGTTGCCAAAGCAACTCTTCTAATTTTCTTTTAGTTGAAATTGATGTACTAAAATAACTAAATCTGAAATCAATGAAATTAAAGAAAAAAGTATAAAATATAAAAAAAAGCTAATAAAAATTACAAAAACTTTAACTGAAATGTAAATGAAAACAAACTAATTTTAAATATTACTGATAAACTATAATAGTATTTCAATGATACAATCGCCTCCACGGCAACACATCTACTTTGCTACATAAAACCGCTACACTATTGACAATGGACAACATTTTGCTAATGTGACCACACCTTTACACTACATAATAAAATACCTATGTAACATGAAAGTTCTATACATTTTCTTTACATTTTTCTTTAATTTCTCTCATCAAAATCAGCAGACACACCAAGCCAAACAGTAACACTACTGCACTTCATCAAACCATGACACACAGTCCACAAAAATATCTGTCACAAATCACATTACCAGCTCTCACAGTAGGGAAACATATGGAGGAATACATCTCCTCATTATTACAATAAAACTGATAGCAACTTGTGTATCAGATGAAAGGAGAAATGGTGTGAAATGAAACGCATTTCAAATAAATAGCAGAATAGAAAAAAACAGGAAATTCTCACCCCCATTTTCTCATGATAGAAATGATAAAAATACAATTAGAATCTATCTATCTATCTATTAGGGGTGTCTATAACGATAGGCCTACACAAAACTGACGGTTCAGTTTTCCCACGGCTTTGACGTCTCGGTTCGGTTTAGAAAGCTAAAATTGCTTTTTTAGTTTTTTTCTAAACAGTGGTTTAATGAAAAAATTGTGTCTTTGTCTTTAAATGAATTAAATTACAATTAAGCGTTTCGCAAGGATTAAAAAAAATCTGCAAATGCTGTAAACTATATAGGGAGCCGCACATTACTAAAACATTAAAGGTTAACAACAGCGCCTAGACTTTTAGCCTAAATTCAGATGCTATTTATTTTTTAGATATAATAATCAACACCCAACACATTGTATGAAAACATGTAAACTGAACATAAGGCAGTTTTTGTATTAACTTATGTTTTACTCTAATTTGTTATTGAAATATACTCATTTACACAGTTGCTGTCATTTTCATGAAAGATATTTTAAACATAGGCCTACATTAAATAATCAAGATATCATTAACAGGTTAAGTAAAATACAATATATAGGCTAATATAGTGCATTTATTTAGTGCAAGAGTTCATTTCTCTAGGAACCAACAAGTTGTGGACACTGGATGACTTCTGCATAATGCTAGTGACAAGCTATGCTGTTTTATTGACGTCTTTCCGCTGCTGAAACACTGATTGAGCGATTACACGAGTTATGATGCCTTTCAGTAAGTATACTGTATCTGTCAACATACCTTCAGGTGTCCATTCATGTTTATTCTGTAACTGAGGAAGAGATGATCGCGTTTACTCGCGCTCCGCGCTGCCGCTTGAATGAAGAGCTAGTACAGTGATCTGTCATGCCACATTAAAGAGCGCCAAAACACCATTTATTGTTTGAATTTCGTGATCAAATAGTCCGAATTTGAAAGATTACACCTTGATTATTATCAAAAGTAACAAAACACGGAGCTTGCTATTTGGTGTTAATGGTGGTTGTAGGCTACAAAACTGAATTCGTTGTGTACACATAAGACATAATGTCCAATGAGCTGGGCTGAGCGGGGTCGGGGGCGAGGTAGCAGGGGGCAGGGGCGGGGCGTGTTCGGTACGCCATGAGAGTATCGCGATTTGAATCGTGGGTTCTGTATCGCGGTTTTTCGGTTCGGTTCAAATATCGTTACACCCCTACTATCTATCTATCTATCTATCTATCTATCTATCTATCTATCTATCTATCTATCTATCTATCTATCTATCTATCTATCTATCTATCTATCTATCTATCATGTGCTTAATTATCATGAAAATCTCTCCATGCACAAAATAGGCTTTATTTTTTTTCCATTTTTTAAATGTAACATTTAAAAGTAATCACTTGTTTAAATAATTCTGCAATTCAGAGCATGATTCTGTTTTTAATTAATGTAGTAGATAGTGTGTGTGTGTGTGTGTGTGTGTGTGTGTGTGTGTGTGTGTGTGTGTGTGTGTGTGTGTGTGTGTGTGTGTGTGTGTGTGTGTGTGTTTTACCTTCACTGAGAGGGTCAAGTGTGTGGATCATCAGCTGAAAGATGCTGTTCCTCATTAGGCTGTTGTGTAAAGAGGCTGAGCTTCCTCCTCTCTGCAGCCTTGGCTTGGCCTGTGATAGGAGGAGAAACATCAGTGACATCACTGTAGAGTATACTATAACAATAACCTTTATTTTATATAGCACCTTTAGAGCAGATTCTCAAGGCAATTTACACAATAAAACAGATACAAATACAAAGAATGTGTTTTTAGATGAGATTTAAAAATGCACAAATTCTGTAAATCTCTAATATGAGAATAAAGTGTGTTCCAGAGTCTATGAGCATAGGATGAGAAAGCCCTGTCCCCTAGAGATTGCAAACGTGTCTGTGGAACAGCCAAAAGACCAGCTTGGCAGGAGCACAAATTACCAGCTTACCGAAGCTGATGAGGAGAGACAATGAGCAAAACCTCAGTCTTTTCACTATTAAGATTTTGGGTCATCCATGTTTTTATCTAAAAAATCCACATTTTACAGCCACCAGGCTTTGAGTGGATATACATCTTAGAATCGTTTGCATAGAAGTGATAATTAAGCCTGAATGATCTTAAGAACAATCCAAGAGGGGATATCTAAATGCTAAAAAGTAAGGGGCCTGAAATTGAACCCTGAGGGACACCAATAGGGTCAGAGGCAATCTCAGACCTGAAACCACTCTGGCAAACGGGCAGCGATCAGAGAGATAAGATCTAAACCAGGCTAAAACAGTATCAGAAACAGTTTCAAGACTATTGAGTGAGAGGTTGTAAATAGTTAATAAGAAGTAATATAGTTTATATTCAACTGTATTATTGATTTGACTTTACACTATTGAATGATAACTGAACTGAGCTGGACGAAGACATCACAGTTCCCTTTCGAAAGGGAAGTTGCACTGCGTCAAAGCGCTAGGGGAAACGATTCAGCGTGTCTGATGACTGAAACACTGTATAATCACGACAACCTTGTTGGCCGGCGTCAGCCATGACGTCATGCTCTAGCGCAACCAGGAAGTATAAAAGGGGCGCCTAGAGAACATGCCATCCTCTTTCACTGCACTGTGAGTTAAACGATAATATGGCAAACAAGCGCTTTAGGAAATGTGCCAACCCGTGTGAGAGGTTTCTCACACCTGGTGACACTCACAACCTTTGCGTGCTTTGTCAGGGTGAAGAGCATGCGCGCTCTGTTCTCGAGGGGACAGAGTGCGTGGACTGTGAGCGTTTTTCAATAAGAAAGCTCCGGTCTCGTCTGTCTTTTTTCTCGAGGGAAGAAGGACAGTCATCTTTGCCCCGTGGTTCGGGTCCCGCTCATGCCGAGGCCGAGAGGAGACTCAGATCGTGGGGATCTCAGAGGGAGCTCCCCGATGAGTTTGAGAGAGGAGTGAATCTCTCAAACTCGTCGGAGGGTGACGAGAACGTGCTGTTGGGCGGGGATGCGCTTTCTGAATCATCCTCTGGTCCAACAGCCAGTGCTCTATTGGCTTCGAGCCTGGATGAGCAGGATGGGGCTGAAGCACGTGAAGATACTGAAAGGCTGAACCTGCCCAGCCCACCTGCCTCGCTTATGCAGAGCTGGTGGAGGTGATGGAGCGCGCCACCACTAGGCTTGAGTTGCCATGGCAGCGCGTCAGAGGGGAAGCCGCTCGTGGAAGGCTTGACGAGCGCTTTCTCTCTGGCCACACCCCACCAGCCCCGGTGAGCCTTCCATTCTTTCCCGACCTCCACGCTGAGGTTGTGAAGGCATGGAAGAACCCGTACTCCTCTCGCATTCACCGTTTCCAACATTCTAATTACTCGAATGCGGAGGGAATGCGAGAGCACGGGTATGTGTCGATGCCTCCCATTGAGGAGACATTTGCAAGCTATCTGTCGCAAGGGTAGACATCGACACTAAGAGCTCCAACCCTGCCATCTAGACCACTCCAGACCACATCTCGTCTGAATGGCAGGGCATACGCGGCGGCAGGTCTGGTGCTGCGCTGCACACGATGGCTGTGTTGCAGGCGTTCCCAGGCTGACGTGCTGAGGGACCTGGACCAGGGGCAGGGTCTAACCCCAGACGCGGTGGCTGAGTCGCGCCGCACCACAGACCTGGCTCTCCGGGCCACCAAAAAGACAGCCGCCGCGATCGGACAATTGTTGGCGGCCATGGTGGCCACGGAGAGGCATCTGTGGGTGAACATGGCAGGGATCGGGGAGAAAGAGAAAACTTTTCTCCTAGATGCCCCAGTTTCGCCCTCTGAGCTTTTCGGGACCTCCGATGAGACGGTGGTCGGAAAGTTCAGGGAGGCGAAGGCACTCTCAGTGGCATATAGATCTTGTATATCGCGCCGGTCCAGGCCAACACCCAGACAGTCTCATTCCGAGGATCGTAGACAGGGCCAGTAGGACTCAGTCGCCACTCGTGCCCCTCCTCCTGGCAGAAGTAGGTCATTGAGGCGGCACGAGTCCAGGAGGAAGAAGCAGGGTGTCAGGGAAGTAGCTCAGGCCAGACGTGAACATCCTGGCACGAGCAGAGACAGGTAATTGCCTCCTTCCCTGTGCACACCCTCCTTTTCCTCTTTCCCCCTTAGTCCATAACATCAGGCCCAATGAGCCGGACCGATGATGATAATCTATTCTGACGGTCCAGGAGGAAGAAGCAGGGTGTCAGGGAAGTAGCTCAGGCCAGACGTGAACATCCTGGCACGAGCAGAGACAGGTAATTGCCTCCTTCCCTGTGCACACCCTCCTTTTCCTCTTTCCCCCTTAGTCCATAACATCAGGCCCAATGACCCGGACCGATGATGATAATCTATTCTGACGGTCTGCCTCAGGCCTTTGTTGTGTGACCAACCAAAAACCAACCGCTGAGAACATTCCCTGTAGCCCCACATATCCGTTAGCAGAGTAGTTGGCACTAGGTGCCTCCTCAAGTTTAAACGAACGTAAATAGGCTGCTCCCAAAAAAAAAAAGTAATAATAATATATGGTTTATTTACAGGGTTATTCGGCCTCCGTTCCCCTCCTGGATAGGATGGGTTCCCCTTACGGTGTGGTGAGGTTGTTACAGGGCCTTTGTCGCATTCTGTTCACTAAATTTCTGGCAGCCAGATCTGAAGTCGGCTAGTATTGCAGTGGTGATAATAAGCACAGGTAGCAGGTTCCCTCCCTGTGGGCTCAGAGGCGTGGTTAGGCTTCCTCTCACTCCAGAGAGTTATCTGCTGAGGCCTCCGCTCTCTAGAGCTCAACAGAGTGTTTATATTCTTTATGGGGTTTCTTTTTCTAACATAGTGGTTTCTCTCAAGTAGAAAAACTAGTTTAACCCTCTGGGGTCGGCTATCGCGCCGGCGCGACGAGCTCACTTTTTTCCTTATCAGTGCAAAAGAGACTCAAATTACTCTGTTGATTTTGATCTCACATATAAGTCTTGTACATCATTAGATCATGTTAAGTGTCTATTTTTTTGTGGATACTCACAATAAAAACAAAATGTTCTACTTTTTGTCAATTAAAAAAAAATAAACATGATGCGAATTTTGCCTTCTCTCTGTCAGTGAAGTTTATTCTGAAACGCGTCCGAAAATGAACTGTAACTCAGTCAATACTTGTCACACAGACACGAGAGATTTTTCATTATGAAGCTGAAATTCTCTTCTTTTAAATGAAGTAATTTATACACTCACCTAAAGGATTATTAGGAACACCATACTAATACTGTGTTTGACCCCCTTTCGCCTTCAGAACTGCCTTAATTCTACGTGGCATTGATTCAACAAGGTGCTGAAAGCATTCTTTAGAAATGTTGGCCCATATTGATAGGATAGCATCTTGCAGTTGATGGAGATTTGTGGGATGCAGATTCAGGGCACGAAGCTCCCGTTCCACTACATCCCAAAGATGCTCTATTGGGTTGAGATCTGGTGACTGTGGGGGCCATTTTAGTACAGTGAACTCAATGTCATGTTCAAGAAACCAATTTGAAATGATTCAAGCTTTGTGACATGGTACATTATCCTGCTGGAAGTAGCCATCAGAGGATGGGTACATGGTGGCCATAAAGGGATGGACATGGTCAGAAACAATGCTCAGGTAGGGCATGGCATTTAAACGATGCCCAATTGGCACTAAGGGGCCTAAAGTGTGCCAAGAAAACATCCCCCACACCATTACACCACCACCACCAGCCTGCACAGTGGTAACAAGGCATGATGGATCCATGTTCTCATTCTGTTTACACCAAATTCTGACTCTACCATCTGAATGTCTCAACAGAAATCGAGACTCATCAGACCAGGCAACATTTTTCCAGTCTTCAACTGTCCAATTTTGGTGAGCTCTTGCAAATTGTAGCCTCTTTTTCCTATTTGTAGTGGAGATGAGTGGTACCCGGTGGGGTCTTCTGCTGTTGTAGCCCATCCGCCTCAAGTTTGTGGCTTCACAAATGCTTTGCTGCATACCTCGGTTGTAACGAGTGGTTATTTCAGTCAAAGTTGCTCTTCTATCAGCTTGAATCAGTCGGCCCATTCTCCTCTGACCTCTAGCATCAACAAGGCATTTTCGCCCACAGGACTGCCGCATACTAGGGGTGGAACGGTACATGTATTCGTATTGAACCGAAACGGTACGGGCGTCACGGTTCGGTGCACGAATTTGCACGGAGAATACACGGTACAAATAAAAAAAAAAAACTCTTAAATAGCGATCAATCTCGCTCTATTCGCTTTTGGTGTGACTGTGAACGCAGCAATGAACAGGCTGCGATCAAGATTGCAATGCTGGAGTGTGTGTGCGAGAGAGAGAGAGAGAGAGAGAGAGAGAGAGAGAGAGAGAGAGAGAGAGAGAGAGAGAGAGAGAGAGAGAGAGAGAGAGAGAGAGAGAGAGAGAGAGAGAGAGAGAGAGAGAGGGGCGCGGGCGCGAATCGCGCAATCGAACAGTGTGTGTGTGTGCGCGCGCGTGCGAGAGAGAGAGAGAGAGAGAGAGAGGCGCGGGCGCGAATCGCGCGATCGAACAGTGTGTGTGTGTGTGTGTGAGAGAGGCACGGGCGATGAACAGTGGAAACATAAAAACATACTCCGTCATTTTTTTCATACAGGACATCATTGAAAC